TATGTGTGTGTGTGTACATAGAGAGAGAGAGAGAGAGAGAGAGAGAGAGAGAGAGCGAGAGAGAGAGAGAGAGAGAAAAAGATAGAGAGAGAGACGGCGATATAGATAAATTCAGAGAGAGAGAGAGAGAGAGAAATAAAAAGACAGAGAAAAAGAGAGAGAGAGAGAGAAGAGAGAGAGAGAGAGAGAAGAGAGAGAAGAGAGAGAGAGAGAGAAGAGAGAAGAGAGAGAGAGAAGAGAGAGAGAAGAGAGCGAGAGACAGAGACAGAGCGAGAGCGAGAGCGAGCTTGCCGGTCAGTCTGTTTTCTGCTTCGCCACACAGGAAGGGCTAGCTCGCCCCACATATGCGGGATCCGTATGTCCTCTAGGAGTTTGGTAACAAGAGTCAACGTGAGGTTGCGAAAATGCTCCACATAGCACGCAGCTCACTTCTGCCCGCAAGCAGCACTTCAATACTGCTATTGGAATAATAACAGACAGTCCTCAAGATAAGCTTCATTGCTGCTTGCCGAGCATGTGAAAAAAGCTTGGAGGCACAACGCCAAGTGCATCAGGACGCGAGCGCACCATCCGCTAGCAAGTCGTCTGGATCTGCCATTGAAGTTCTAGCTACCGCTGCCTCCGAAGCAAGCGACTTGATGCATCCGGCGTTCAAACAGTCTACGATTGCTGCAGGGCCGAGAAAGCCTTGCCACAGGCAGCCTCTCGACGCCCGTCTCCTCACAAATGGCACCGAAACATGGCAGCACATCCGAACAAAGCGAAATAGGCCTTCCGCCAAGCTCAGGAAAGATGTCTCAGGGCACAGAAGTTCAGAGCCCGGGGTAGCCGAAGGTGGATGCCCATGCCTCGACCTGGTCGTTCCATGCCCCCAATTCTATGAGCGGGTCCCTATGAGGCCCTATGATCTTTTTATCATGAGGACCCTTTTGCGGAGGCCCCGAACACGAGTTCACCCTGAGTCGGAGGATCCTTCCTGCAAGGATACCGATGAGGAGCTGCAGTGCACATGCCCTACCCTCAACCCCGAAAAATCTCAAAAAGAAAACCCCCAAAACACCAAAAAAAATCCCTAAGCCCCTACACCCTAAACCCTAAACACCCCCCCCCCCACCCACCTCCTTCTTCAGGGCCCCGATGTCGGCGTTGCCAGGGAGGGCGGCCTCGAAGTCCTTCAGCTTCTTGCCCTTCTCCTGGGCTCTGGTTTTGGGATTTCATTTTAAGTTACCATACGGTTTAGGGTTTAGGGTTTAGGGTTTAGGGTTTAGGGATCTATAATAAATACTATGGTTGCCTTATTGTAGTAACTTAACAAGGACCCCGTCTCCTCCTGCACCTTCAAGGCGATCTTGCAGCACCTGCCAAGCGGGTCTTTAGGGGCTCAGGGCTTCGAGGGGGCCTTGAAAAGCATAGAAAAGCTCACCTGTCCAGGAAGTCGGCGATCTTCTCAAAATCGGCAGTGGTGCATCCTCGCGTGGTCATGGCCGGGGCGCCGACGCGGACGCCGCCCGGGGAGAGGGCCGAAACATCGCCGTGCACAGCATTGCGGTTCAGCGTGATGGAGCACTGCTCGCACACCTTCTCCACCTTGCCACCGCTCAGGCCGTGGGGGCGCAGGTCCCAAAGGATGAGGTGGTTGTCCGTGCCGTCGCTCGCGAGCTTGTGGCCCTTGGCCATCAAGGCCTTGGCCAGGGCATTCGCATTGGCCTTGACCTGCTTGGAGTATTCCTTGAACTCCGGAGTGGAGACCTCCAGCAACTGCGCAGCCAGGCCGCCGATCTGGTGGTTGTGGGGTCCACCCTGGAGAGCCGGGAAGACGGCCATGTCAATCCGGTCCTTGATGTCCGGCACCTTCTCGCTGTACTTGAAGAAGATCATGCCGGCCCGGGGTCCCCGAAGGGACTTGTGCGTGGTGGTGGTCACGACGTCGCAGAAGGGGAAGGGCGACGGATGCTCCCCGGTGGCCACCAGGCCGGAGATGTGGGCGATATCCGCCATGAGGAAGGCACCAACCTCGTCAGCGATCTCCCGGAACTTCGCGAAGTCCACCACTCTCGGGTATGCGGAGGCACCGCAGAGGATCATGGCCGGCCGGAAGACCAAAGCGGTTTTGCGAAGCTCGTCGAAGTCAATGAGTCCCGTCTCCGGGTGGACTCGGTATGGCAGCGACTCGAAGTAGATGGACGTGGCCTTGGGAATCCGGAGACTGGTCAGATTCCTACACCAAGACCGATCTTCCACCCTCGCTCTCGCGATGCTATCGTCTACAGAAGTCTTGGAAAGGAAGCGAAGGGCCAGGCAGGGCTTGGACGTGAGAGGGCGGTCGGTGATGTCGGGTGGGCTGCTATGCAAGGATACGCAAGGGAAGAATTCGGGTGACCAGGACAGCATGGACTGTAATTCGACGGAAACGGGTTCGCAATCCGAAAAAACTTTGGGCTGCAGTCCTTCTTTGCTCTCGACGCATGACCCCTTCACTTACGTCCATGTTTCAGGCTATCATCGGAGTCTTTTATTCATCTGCTCCTCGACCAACACCTGGTGCGTCGGCAACAACTAACACATGTGCAGCCCTTCTGTTCTCGGAGCTGTTCGAAAACTCAAGCGCCGACCACATCTACGGAAGAGCCCATGCTTTGTTCCCAGGAACTTGAGCGAAACACTACAGTACTAAGTGAACCTCTGTTTTGCAAAGGAAAGGAGCAGAGATCTTCTTCTTCGCAGTGTAGTAGCCGTGCGTGAGGTGCCCGCCGCTGGGAAGGTCGAGGCCCATGACACGTGCATGCGGAGGCAGCAGGGCGGTGTAGACGGCAAAGTTGGCGGGGCTTCCGGAGTACGGCTGCACGTTCACGCCCCACTCCTTCTCATCCAGGCCAAAGGCTTTCAAGGCGCGATCCTTGCACAAATTCTCCACCTTGTCGATCACCTCGTTGCCACCGTAGTAGCGCGCACCGGGCTGTCCCTCGGAGTATTTGTTAGTCAACGCCGAGCCCAAGCACTCCATGACGGCCCGCGAGGTGAAGTTCTCCGAGGCGATGAGTTCGATGCACTTCATCTGCCTCTCCTTCTCTGCCTGCACCAAGCCTGCCATCACCGGATCCGCCTCACTCAGCGGACGGTTTCCGGAGAGCACGGGGCGAGACATGACAGGCAAGAAGGGCGACGGAACGTGGCACGACTTTCCTAACCTTGAACTGGCAACAGCTAGGGCGGGAAGCATTCGATTGCTGCGTTGTCCGGCGTGTGGGCCGAATCGATCGTGATTTCCTGTGTCGTTCTCTTCAGTAACAAACCGTTGACTCAGACATCTGTGCTTGCAACACTTGTGCCTCATCGGGCACGAGCTCTTCCAGTCGCAGCCGGAGTGACCTGGCAGAAATCTGTCGGTGGCCCGAGGCGGTTCGCGGGATTAGAGGGAAGGCCGCAGGAACTCTGGTATGACTGAACCTGCTGAGGCTTCATCGGCCAGCACTAGGAATCAAACCCGAGCAACATGAGCAATTCCATTCAGGCTTTCTTTCGGGTGGTGCCGATCATTACCGTATCTCCGGTAGTAGTGCGGCCGTAGTAGTGAGTAGTGGCAACAGCAACAGCAGCAACAGCAGCAGCAGCGGTAGCAGTGGCAGCCGCAGCAGTAGTGGAAGTGGTGGTTGTAATCAGTAGGAGAGTTCATCGTCGTCGTCGTCCTCGGCGCATGCGGACTAAGAGCCGCAGAATCGGCACACTCAGTTGCCCTTGCACCACACGACACCGAGGTCGACACGGGTCCTTGTTGAGGAGACCACGTATAACAGACACCATGTCCTTGGCGGATGCCCAGCAACGAAAAGATGCCAGAGATCTTTTCTCATTTTACTGCATGACCATGCAGGTCAGTAATCATGAATTACTCTGACGATCCGTCTGGCTTATATGACACTCCTGACTGTCTCGGTCACCACCATGCCCATGCCTACTTGACTTGTGCTGTTACAGCTCCTGCTGCGCAAGTCTCGTAGTTACGCTCCCTTGCTGAACCACAAGGGATCGCAACCCTCAAAAAAAAAAAGCATCGTTGCTCCCGCAAAGTAGCCTGAGCATTGATTACGGCTTCTTGCCCCTTGCAAGGCCCCAAACGAAACACATCAGAAGCAAAGACCCCGGGAGCCTCAAGACCCCTCTGCAAGCACGGCTTCCGGCGGCGTCTCGGGTGGCAGCTCGGGCGGGTCATGCTCGACGATCTGCCAAACCAGCGCCAACCTTCGGCAGCTTACACAAGCTCAGGGTTCTCTTTAACTAATTAGGCTTGAAGACTGGCTCTCCTTCTACCTCCGTTCCGGGAGTAAACCTCCAGGAATCTCTTGGCGTTTTCCGCTGCATGCACATGAGGGTTCAAGAATCTGTTTGGGGCACACGAATGCGACAAAGTGCACATACTAGATGGAAGCATCCTCACACCCCTTCGGCGGCACATGGGGCTGATCCTAGCAACAGACCAGCACCACACCCCGGGGATGTTTAACGGATAGTAACATGGTCACTACTTGTAGCGGAAGTCCTGCCAGCTGAGAATAAAGTCACAAGATAACTCAATACAGGCCCGACACAGTCGGACGCTCATTGAAACACCCGCATGTTCGGCCCAGGAGGCTGGTTCGAGGCATCAAAGGGCCGCTTCAGGCATGCCAGCTCGAAGAGACCTTTCCGTCAGCACCCAACCCAGAAAGGGTTTAGGGTTTAGGGACCGAAACAGGACCCATGAAACACAAATCCTAAACCCCACACTTGGGCTTGAAGGGCACGGGGGGAGCTGGGATTTTTGGGACAGGTCCTGACAGTGGAAGGAGTTAGCCTTTGTTGTGGCATGCAGGGGATGTTGCTCATGGGGTTCGGGCTCTTGGGATTGAGGGCTTTGCACCTCTAGGGCTGAAGAGCTTTCCTGCACTCACACTTGGGAGATGTCCAGGCAAAGGCCCCAAAGCCGCGGACTTTAGGCTTCCTGCTGCTGTAGCGTTTAGGGTTTAGGGTTTTGGGTTTAAGGTAGCAATTGTGTCAACCCATCCCATGACACTGCGAACCCAGCGGCATGCACCCAGAGCCCAGGCGTCTGCGGCAGTTCCGTAAGGTCCTAGGTCACAACCCAACCGAGCGGAGAGGTGCAGGGCTGTGCTATTTTGTAGGACTCCCCATGCCCCCGCGATTCTGACAGATTTCCCAAACCCTACACCCCTGTACCCAAAGCCCCCATGCCCTGAACCCTTTTTTTGTTTGCATCCGGACTTGTGCAATCCCTGAATCCTAAACCCCAATACTGGCCCTTCCGCCCAAACCCAAACGGCCCTAAACCACGGAACCTTCCGTGGGGTCACTCGGGTTTACGTGGCTGAGGCGTTTGGGGCTTCGAGCCTCAGTCGGGGTCCGCGTTGGGGCTAGATTACAGATGATCATGTTTCATCCTTACTGGGCTTTATTATAACAAAAATGTAAAATTGCTTCCAACAGGGACCCAGAGTTTCGGAATCTTGGGCGTTTTGGGAGATTTAGAGTTCTCGTTCTCAGGACAAGGAAAACAGTCCGAAAGCTGCCTTTTGCCAAGAGGCTACCCGAGACAAGCTCGGGCGACATGTAGGCCGGAGTTCCCAATACCGTGCCTGGTCGAGTTTGCTATGTCCACACCGACCCCCTTCGCGAACCCAGATTTTCGACCTCCATACACCCGCATGACATGTACCTCACAGGCGCCACTAAAGCTCTCGTAGCCTACAGCTGTGCTGCTCGGTCATCGTGCCCCTGTCCAAACCGGTCACCTAGCTGCTGCATTGGTTACCCCGCCCCCCCCCACGCAGAAGAGCGGCCTGCGTGGCCGGAAGCTTCGAGAATTTTGGAAATTCCGAAGTCTGCCAGCTTCACTTCGTGCAGGCTGTTGCTGACAAGGATGTTCGGCGGCTTGACCTCCCAGGAGGGCTCGAATTGGGGTTTAGGGTTTAGGGCTTCGGGTTTAGGGTTCGAAATGGAGGTGCAAGATTTCGGAATAAAGTGGTCTGGGCTGAGCCTGGGCGCCTAAGCTTAGGCAAGCGACCTTGCATATAAAAAAAAAGCACAGGGCCGTCTTTCAGGCAGAGGAGTAGTTCTCTAAATTTAACAAAGGTGCCGTATTATTTTAGGGGGCCGAAAAAGGGACACTAGCTTAGAGAAACACCCATATAATCACTTGGAAATACGAACACGATCTGAACCAAGCGAGCAGCATCCCGGTGGAGTACTCCTTGGGAGTGTATATAGCAGAGGGCGCCACCCACCGTGGACAACACATGCCTCAGTATTCAGACGCGAGCCTTACGGCCAAGTGAACTACTCTGCTCCATCAAAGCCGGGACCGTCAATCACCGTCATAGTCTTCAGCTAGTTGCCATCGTTTCCTCCGACATGTGCTGTCGTCGCGCAGCTGCTCTTTTTTGATTCTTCCCAGGCACACTCATCGCTGTGGATGGTTGGACTGATGATGAGGGTAAAGTGCAAATGCGTACAAAAGCTGAATCGTGCAGGGATGTCGAGTGAGCTGCCCTCAAGGTACAAAAGCTGCTTGCCGCTGGAATGAGCCAACACAACGCTTCATACTTTCATACCTGACCAGCACTATCGGCATCCACCTTAGCACTGCAGCGGCATCGCGCTGCTTCACTAAGAACGGCAAACGTTTCGCTTTGCAGCCGCACAATTAACGAACACGGCCGAACCGCAAGAGATCGGCCCAGGTGGCAAATTCCAAGATCATAATAATCGAAGCCACCACGGCTAATCATAAGTTAGGACAGAGCAACAGATGTGGAATCACGGGAGTGTCCCCCTTGCTCAGCATCTGAACTTGGGGTCGGATGGCTATGATATACCTACATGACAGGAACCTTTTGGAGCTACCTCTCAGGAATCGCTGCAGCCGAAGCCACATGTTCTCCCGCGCACATTCTCTATACATAACGGGCCAGAATCTGAACAAGCTCGCCAGGATTTGGGTCTCCGCGAACTCAGCAAGATCCCGTGAATTTATATGCTTGGTCGTCGATCGCATGAAGATGGTGACCCAAGGCTAGCAACCTGCAATGCTCAGCCCATGTCCAAATAAGTGGCATGTAAAATCTTCCATGGATTCAAGAGGTCTGTACACCAAGCAGACACATGGGGCAGCTGCCCGTCACGTGATCCTGCTCAATTACGCAAAACGCCGACGCGCGATGATCCGTCGCTAGCCTCGAAGCTTACCCGGGAAGGCCATCGAGACTACTTACGGACTCAGCAGGCCGGAGGTGCAGCCACGCATCTAAGGCCCGCAGGAACCTCACTTTGGCCAAACATGTTGTCCCCAAAGCAAACCAGCTCCCCGGCTGCTTTCACCGCACAGGTATGCAGGTATCCTGCTGCCACGAATTCCACTGGGCCTAGGTCAGGCGGCACATCACACTGAGATGAGCGGTTATTCCCGAAGCACACGAGTTTCCCCGCAGTTGTCACTGCACAGGTGTGCTCCTCTCCTGCAGCGACGGCCTTCACAGCTCCAAGGTTTCTCGGAACATCGCACCTTCCATACTCGTTGCTCCCGAAGCAGACAAGTTCACCGTCTGCTTTCACTGCGCATGTATGATACCATCCTGCAGCCACAGCTATGACGGGACCAAGGTCAGCAGGAACGTCACATTGCCCGTCGTCATTAAAGCCGAAGCAGACAAGCTGACCGTCAGCCTTCAGAGCGCATGTGTGGTACCATCCTGCAACCACGGCTGCCACGGGGCCAAGGTCCGAAGGCACCTGACACTGGCCGAATCGGTTGTCTCCGAAACAGACCAACTCGCCATTGGCATTCACGGCGCAGGTGTGCCCGCAGCCTGCTGCGACTGCCACTAGATGCCCAAGACTTGGAGGCACTTCACATTGCCCGAAGCGGTTGTCTCCGAAGCACACTAGTTGACCGTCCGATCTCAGCGCACAGGTGTGATCCAAGGCAGCTGCAACAGCAGTCACAGGGCCCAAATCGGGAGGTGCAGTACATTGGCCGCAGACATCACGTCCGAAACATACCAATGACCCGTTTTGCTTGAGAGCACATGTGTGGTCACATCTTGATGCAACCGTAGATTGAGATCGAAACCTGACAGCCAGGTATGGCATGATTTCGTTCATCAGCGTAGGAGTGAACACATCCGCAGCTACATGTTCCTGCTTGCGAGAGTTCACGACGAGCCAGCACACATGATGGAGGTCCCGCTCAAAGACATGCAAATCATGACCGGGCAGCCGCATGGAGACTGATTGCGCGTCAAGCTACTCCTGGCAAAATGCTGAGATTGAGAGACACAATGGCTGCGAAAGCCTTCCCAATAACACTCTTGCTTGGTATGCTATATATTTCTGAGTGCGCGCATCCCACAGGTTTCCAAACACCGGAGAGAACATCACTAAAATGTTGTCAGACCACCTGCTGTTCAGGTCCTGCTTCTTGTCCGTACTTTCATCGCTGGGGGGTGATGATACTTTCCGTTCCGCCTCCGCTGCAGCCCAGGTGCTGCAGGAAGGGCCCCTCGAAAGGAGCCTGGCCTCCCTGGCGTCGTGCTTTGATCCGGTTGCCCAGATCGCCTGGGATCAGGTTGGATGACTGGTCGTTCGAGTTTCAAGTGGCCAGGTTTGCCCAACATTTGGGCAGTTGTTGAAATTAGGGTCCCCTTTCTAGGTCCCCAATATAGTACGGCACCCTGATACAAGAACCCCAAAAGGGACCCTAGTTTAGAAAACGATCCATGTAAAGGACGAAACCCTAAATCTTCAATCCTCAAATCCTGCGCCCTAAGCTCTGAAACCCCCAAACCCCCAAAGCCCCAAAGCCCTAAACCCCCAAAGCCCTAAGAATCCCCCAAACCCCTAAAAAACCCGAAACCCTTCAAGACCCCCGACCAACCAGAGCCCCAGAAGTCGAGGCTCTAGGGCGACCCCTAATAGGGACCCTTAATAGTGTTTAGGGTTTAGGGTTTAGGGTTTAGGGTTTAGGGTTTAGGGTTTAGGGTTAACCCCATTACCTTAAATGACCCTTGTGTAGTCCTTATATACCTATTAAGGGCCCTAGTCTAAGTATTAAGGCCCTTAATATAGCACCCTACTATAGATCCCTCATGGTTCCCTTTAAAGGGACCCGTTTAAGGAACCCTGTTCAAATTATGAAGTCCCTCCTAAAGCTTTTAGAGAGGCCAGGCGCCGCCGTCCATGAACTCCAGGGCCAGCCACACGCACTTCCGAGGTGGGTCGAACCTCCGAGGCTCGACTTGGGAAAGTTTCGGGGTTTCGGGGTTTCGGGTTTAGGGTTTTTTTGCCTCCTACTTAAGGGTTTAGGGTTCAGGGTTTAGGGTTTTAGGGTTTAGGGTTTAGGGCGTACTTGCCTCCTACTTCACAAGGACAAGCTCGCATGTCGGGGTCGATAGGGTGACAGATCCTTCAATCCGTTGTAGGATAAGGGGCCACAAGACATCAAAAACCTGTTCGTTGGCTGAGTTTGGGAGTTGGGGGAGAGGGCTTCAGAGCCTTGGCACACTTCTCGGCTTTGGTAGGGTTTAGGGTTTAGGGTTCAGGGTCCGGGTTTCAGGGTAGGGTTCGGGGGTTGGGTTCAAGGAGATGCCGCCCGGGCGCTGCACATCGTGGCATGTGACAATGTGGGGATGTCGAAGACGCTGCATCAGCTGAGCCTGCAATCAGCCGAAACTCCGGGAATGAAGAAATTGGCCTGACTTCGCCTAGGTTGCAAGCAGTGCCACTCCTCTTGTTCTTCATCGTAAACCGGGGTGCGTTGAGAGTTAGACCGAAGCATCGGGAAGGCCAACATCAAACGGTGCACAAATCAACAGTTGGCAAGAAGAAAAAACGGCGCACTGACAGCCACGGTCGTGCAAGTACCCCGAGTGGGTTTGTCAAGAAGTGTCCGATGCCTGCTTGTACCCCAACGGTCATGAAAGACAAACGGCGCACGTCATGCAGCGCCGTGAAAAAGGTATGTTTTGTGGACGCTTGTGATTGGCATTCGGTCCGTTTCGTCCCAACGATCTTCCTAAGTGGTTCTTGTTATACAGGGACCTCATTATTTAGAATATGGTTTTGGGACCTGTTGTAGAATAACTAGAAGAAGTAGCCAGTATTGGTAACTATCCAATCTCTCATAACACCTTGGTTCTCAACGCCGTCTGAGACTAGTAATAATAGACTCGATGATCATCATCATCGTCATCACCTCCTGAAGAAGTACAGTCACAATAGTAATGGTAGTGATAATGGCAATCATAGTAGTCGCAATGCTCCTGGTGGTCGTCGTAGCCATAGTAATGACAGCACTCATAGTAACGATTGTAAGAACAGTACGAACAATAGTTATAGCACCAACAAGAATAACTGTACAGTGATGATGGCAATGAAAAGAAAGCACAGAGTAGTGATAGATAGTGATTGCCATGACAGAAAATGGTATTGTAGCAAGAACAATAAACATAGACATAATAGTCACTGCTTGTGCTTCAGGGTGCCACACATGTCGGGCTCTCGCGGTTTGTCCTTCTTGAATCAAGACTTGTGCAATCGCCTGAGACCTCTCCTGTGAAGGTACACTATCTTCGAAGCATGAAGGATGCCATGAAGGGCTTAGACTTTGGGGTTAAGGCTTACCAAAACCTTTCAGACTGGCTAAAGCATTGAGAAAGATGATGGAAGCGGCCTCGGCCAACGTCGTGTCGGCTGCTTTGGCCGCCTCATCGTCGTCGAGGTGGTCACAGGGCACCAGCTTCAAGGCAAACCTGGGCGAACATTCAGGGTGTTTCCCGACCCGCCTATCTGAACAAGTTGAGGGTTTATGCTCTCACGATTCGGACCAGCCAGATGAGGTCTCACGTGTAAAGTTCGGCTCTAGGCTTTAGCCCTCAGATTGTGGGGACAGCCCGGATGATGCTCGCAACTGGAGTCCCGCCCGCAAGCTTCAGAGACTGAGGCGGAACGGAAACTCGCCGCCGCACTGGCAAAAAGACACTGCGGGCATCATGGCAAGGTCCATGAGGTCGCCACGGCAAGTCCACGGAAAGTTCGGACCCGGAGGGCTGGAGGGTGACATATTTCTACAACGAGATGTGATCCTAATACTAATGCACATCACGAAAAGGTACTGAAGCATGGGGCTCGGCTCAACAGCTTTCAACGACCGCATTACTCAGCCATGTTGTCAGGTTCCTGCGATCCGGAACTCTATGGGAAAAGCCAAGCGTCTGCTGCAGGGCAGCGGTCTGAACAAGAAGCCTCAGGTGTGACTTCCATGCAGCTTTGCTGCAGAGCTGTTGTAGCGACTTCTGCAGACGGGCAGCATAGGCATAGCATTCGGCTTTCAGCAAAAAGTCATTCACATATGTCCAACCACAGCCGAGCAACACAACACCAAAGCTACCGCGACCGAGAAGTTGCTTGACCTCATAGTCTCCGATCCGCTCACCGGCGTGAGCAAACATCGCCCGAGCGCATGCTGCTCCGATGGCTGCCCATGGCTATACGGCCACTAGGACGTCTACAGGGCGAACCAAGAAGGGTGAAGCTGCAATGGTACCCACTGGCTTGCATCTTAGAGCAAGGGTGTCCTGCACATTTAGATCTGGTCTTGTGTTTCCTTGCAGCACATGCGGTGAACGCAGGGTTCGGGTTGCACAAGTCTAAGCCTAAGTCACTAGATGTTCCATGTCACAGGCCCGTGTAGCGGGCCTGCCTGAGCAGCAATGCTGCCACCAAGCGACTCATCCAAGAACGCGCCGGCCCCTCGATCCCTTGCGCCAGAATCTCAGCCAGCAAGGACTGAGCAGAGTTGCAGAAAATTAAGGGCCCGCAAATCAAGATGCTAAACTAGCATCTTTATCCTACCGGAACGATCGAACAACTTCAAGTTGTTGGAAAGTCTTCTACACCTCCGTCCCTGTAACACCGGCGATTGAGACTGTGCCCCGGGCCTCTCTGCGCCGCAGCGCTGCGGAGCGCGAGAGAGTCCAGACGCCATGAGGAAGAGAGAGAGAGGGAGAGAGAGAGGGAGAGGTGCTGGATTTCTCTTGGATTTGGCCACTGGGGGATTTGGGGTTTACCCTCTGACGCCTGGAATCGAGATGAGGTTTCTGGCGCGATGGTCGACCTGAGACACACCTACCGACTTCAGCGCTTCTCCCCACGATTTGTAAAGCCATACGCAAGAAAAAACCCCGGCTGCCTCGCCAAGACTCCATGCAAGCCCTCATCTCATGGATCATGAATCTGAGTACTTGTAAGGAGACAAATCGCTTCCTCATCCGGTTCCTCGATTGCAAGCTCACTACAGAAATAAGGATCACTGGCACAGCTGAGCAATCTCTTTGAATAAAGAGCAATACTACAAATAAGTTCAAGCAGATCGGGTAAGCACTGTGCTCTACGACTGAGATTGGCGGTCAAATTGTCGCTGAACTTCTCCATGCTGCTGCTTATTTTCAGTCGGTCACTTCATGGGAACAGTATAAGGCTTAAAAGCCGGCAACTGAACAAAACTCTGCTCGAAGGCGGGGCTTTACGTTTGTAGCGCAGCCAGGAACTTGCATCAAATACAGTGCCCGAGCAAAAAGAGATTATGGCCCCCGAGATGAATTCGGAGCCAGTGCTTGAGACTGGCCTGGGAAAAGAACGAGGCCGGCCACCCGATCTCATCGCAGTGAGCTGCACCTTGCCTAACGATAGGCTGGGTTGTAGTCTCCGCGAATCTGGTGCTCTATGCTGCAGCCATAGGCCAACTCGATAATCGTACCCTTGTGACCGCAGGAGCTGGGCCAAGCGATCACACTAGCGTGCCTCATGCCGCCTCCACCCATCGCTACCGAGAAGACATTCGGCCAACCGCCCACGAAGATCGCCTTGCCGTGGCACGGCAGCCCTCCGCTGCGCCATCCGCTTTTCCCACAGACCCTCTTCTCCAGCTTGTGCTTGAGGTTGGATCCATAACCTGCGTAGGAGACGAAGTGGATATGGAACTGGTTGATGCTGCGGTGGCCCGGGGGGTTCACGATAAGAGCGCAGTGGCTGCCGCCGCAACGTGCGTGAGCTGCGTCCATGCCGTTGTTGTAGTAGCCGACATTGCCACCGTTGACATCTTCGATGCCTCTGCCACTGCCCCAAACCTTGTCTCCACCCTGGGACCAACCGGCAGCCACTCTTACTGCGGCGAAGTTCTCGGCACCAAGCAAGTCGCCCTCCGGATCGATAGAGTCACCGTCCTCGTGCTCCTCTTCCTTTGTCGTAGCGCTGGCGCTGGCAGGGTTCACTGCGCTCTTCTCCTTCGTACTGTTGCTCGGGAGAGCCGTGCTGTTCTGCTGGAGCGCGTGCAAGGCACACGTCCCCTCAGGGCACGCATCCAGCGCCACGGCCTCCGAGAGCTGCGCTGCCTTGTCGGGAGAGGTGGCCCCGGCCAGGACCGAAGCACCAAGCACGAGGAATCCCACGATCATGGCTATGGCGGCTATAGCTGGCGGCTACGGGTCTCACAAAATTTCCTGGTCTTGGTGCCACGGCATTCTCTCATGCCTGCTCAAGGCAAGAAAACAGGCGACCAAGGCAGATGATGAGCACCGCAAAATGTTGGGCAGCTTGTCTTTGCAGCGTGCAAGTCATCTGCGCGACCACTTCTTGCCCGCCTCTACCTGGCACTTGAGCTTCTTTGAAGCTTGCTGCCTAAAGATCTGGGCCTGCCACGATCTCGTGAATGATGTCGCTAACAACATGGACACTCAGACGTCGAAATTTCAGCGTCTACCTGTGTCTATCTGGGAGTTTCCGAAAATAGGGGACCATAATATAGTACCCTAAATAGTAGGATCCTTATCATAAGGACCCCAATATAAGGTACCCCTTGTTTTCGGAAACTCCGATCTACACGTCACGACCATAAGGCCCAGGTCCCACAGGCCATACCATGGAGATGCCTCCAGCTAAACTGACACGACTGCGCCCCAGAAGCCGAAGAAAATCATCTACAGCGGCCTGGCATGCACGGCGTCGAATTCTAGACTGCTCAAGATTCAGAGTATTTTGGTTTGGGTTCGCAACTGAATGCTACACTTTTCTTTCGGGGTACAAAGGTCGGAGAGCCTCCTGGAATTGTCAACCTCCTCACCTGCGACAGTTCTTTCAGAACGAGCTTCTCTCTAAATTCCGGAAGCTGCCGCTTCATCCGCCATCGCCTGGGTTCGGCTCAGGGAGGAAAGAAAACTGAATACGCTGCTGCCTTCATTAGGGTTTAGGGTTTAGGATTTAGGGTTTCAAGTCCAGGACCCCCAACTCCAACCTAGCCCAAGGAAGGGACAGATTCAAGTGTGGCGACAGCTAACGACTGGGTCAGAGCCGGCAAGCACCGAAACAAAAGGAACGCGCCAGATAAAGAGCCCAACCTCGTGCTGTCGTGACAGCTTCGAAACTTCTCCGTGGCGGCAGGCACAGGCTTAAGTAAATGATAGTGTCATGAATTGGCCCCAAAGTACCCATATAGGGACTACATTAAGGCCAAAGTATATACTATTTGGGTACATGGACCCTCAGGGTACGTTATGACAGTGAATGCTAGCCGACCCTAAACCCTAAACCCTAAAACACGGGGAAAAGACCCCAGGCCTCCACGGCCTCCACCACCTCTGCCACGGCGCTCTGCTCATCAAAGCTGCTCCAAGCCTTGAGGTCCTCTCGCGCACTGGCGCTGGGGGGCTAGGGGTGTTTTGTTTAGGGTTTAGGGGTTTAGGGGTTTTCAGCTTTACGCTCTCGCAACTCGGACTCCGCCAGGGGTTTTCAGCTTTGCGGTGTCGGGTTTTTTGACTTTGAGGTTTGAGGGAGTAGGCACTATACTTACTAGATTGTGATTGCTATCGTCTCCTGCCTCTCTTGGCACGATGGTGAGACCGTGGGCACGCGGGCGACTGTAAAAATGGCGGTTTACTGCGATCTCATAAAGGTACTGATTTTTCCTGTTTGTGTTGGCATAAGGAGTAAGGGGACGGGCCTTGTATGATTCCCGAATGAACTTCTTCGTGCAGAACAACCAATTTTGCCTAGGTCCTCCTACTCTACTCTAGCCAACGTGGAACATCAGTGCATATCATGCAGAGCCGAACCTGGCTGGTAACTTACTTGGCGTGCGGGGTTTTGCGGTTTTGCTGAGCGTACGCATAATGTGTCCAGCCAGCTTCGCGCGTTTATCCATCAACATATCCGAAAAAAGGTTTGCCCTGCTTTGTCCGCCTATTTCTGCATTGGCTCTCTCAATGACATCTTGCATTCGTATTTGCTCTGTTTACATAAATGGTGTCCATCCCTAAAAATCTTCCGTAACCCTCGCAGCTGGAATGCGTTAACTTTTCTGCACGGCCTGTATCACGAGATGTGGCTGTGGGAACATCGATGGACAACGACTACATGCAACACGTCGACATCCTCTTAAAATTCAAGACGCTCTTTGAGATATTGATGGCGTGTCGTTTCACTGGCCTTCCAGTCTACGTGCCTCTCGCTGTCAGCTACAAGATGGCTCAGCTGTAGCCGTAGGCTATTGGCTACGAAAACAGAGATAAAACCTGCAGCAGTCGGGGTTTGCTACACCAAAGACATGACTGTAAGAAGCCTTAGCCTGGCCTCCGTGTTTCCGGAGCGCTCCACAGGTTCCTCCTCCTGGTCCGGGCTGGGTGATGACATACTTTGCTGCCGATCTTCGCAGCTTCTACGTACTTCCACTTCCCAAAAGGGACAAGAAAGTCGCTTCGGACCTGTTCGGACACCCTTCGCGCCGCCGACTCGCCTGCGTCCTCGGAAGGACAGCTGCAGAAAGAACGGCAAAACCTTACACGCAGTCCTTCTACCTATCTCTCCATCCGGGAGCCAGCCTTGACAAGCCCGGCCAGTACACGTGCTACGGTTTGGACGTTGGCAGCGTCGGTGTGCTCGCTCTCGACAGCCTGCTGGAGGTCTAGATCTTGCGTCGAACATATCAATTTTGCATACATGTTGGCTTCCCCACCTCATGCTGGATGCTGTCGCGGGCGGCTTCCTCGACGACGCAACTTCATTTCGGGAAAAAACAGAGTTCACCACAGCTTCCGGCTTCCACCTGCACCAACGAGCCAACGTCCGACTCTGCTGACGTGACGAGCCCGGCCACGACGCGCGCCACGTCGGCTCGATCGCTCTCAGTGGCCTAACGGAAGTCTTTGCTTGTTTCTTTGCCGGGCCTTCTCCTCTAAAGCAGCTTTAGCAGCTTCCTGTCGAAAAACCTTGAAGAGGGTCGGCTAAGGCTGCGGGGACTCCTTACAGCACACGCACATGGACCCTGATCACAGTCTCAAGCTGAGGGACCACCGCTGACTGCTCATCACAGCTGTCGCGGACACGGATTGGCTAATCAACACTCACTCTACCCCATGACTCGCCTCACTCCGACCGCAAGGCAGCAACCAGAGACAAGACAGCCCAAGCCGCAGAGAAGCATCTTATGTCGAACCCTGCGGTTTTGACTTTGGGTCAAAGTTCTAGGATTCTAGGGTTCATGATGAGTTGTCTGCGCTATCACAGCTTCACCACAGGCATCCTATGTCGTGGGCAGCTCAGCACTCCGGCTCCTGACACAGCCCGACAGTCAAGACAGCCCATGCAACATCATGATACACAAATCCTCCAGAGAGAAGCTTTACTCTACGAAAAGCTGGAAGTCTGCATTGCGTTCCGCCACAAAACCTGAAACAAACTTTGGAGTCAAAATTGTCCCCACCTCATGCTGGAGGCTGTCGTGCGTAGCCTCCTTCAGCTTCATCGCGAAGCTTTGACAGAAAAACAGAAATTCAGGACAGCTTCCTGCCTCCACCTGCACCAAGGACCCCACATCTCGCTGCGCTGCTGTGACGAGACCGGCCAACACGCGGGCCACCGTTTGCACATTTGCCTCGTCTGCGTGCTCGCTCTCGACGGCCTGATGAAAGTCTGTACTTGCGTATTCCTGTGCCAGATACATTAAAGTTTTGCATACCTGTTGGCTTCCCCACCTCATGCTGGATGCTGTCGCGGGCGGCTTCCTTGGCAAGGCAACTACGTCTTAGAGCATTCGGAGGGGAAAGTGAACAAAGAAACTCAGGACAGCTCCATGGGGGAGCCAACGTCCGGCTCTGCTGCCGCGAGAAGCCCGGCCAGTATACATGCCACTGTTTGGACATTTGCATCGTCGGTATGCTCGCTCTCCGCAGCCTCATTGAAATCTGCTGACCCAACTTTGAAGAACTGTCGTTTTCCCCGCCTCATGCTGGATGCTGTCGCTTGCTGCCTCCTTGACAAGAAGACGTCTCGGACTACTGGGAGACAACAGAAGTTCATGACGGCCTCCTGGGAGCCGACGTCCGACTCTGCCGACGTGACGAGCCCGGCCAGTACACGCGCCACTGTTTCGACGTTTGCATCGTCGGTGTGCTCGCTCTCCACAGCCTGATGGAAGTCTGCAGTTCGAAATCCTGTGCTAAACAGGTGAAGCTTTGGGATCCCCACCTCATGCTGGATGCTGTCACTCGCGGCTTCCTTGACAATGCGACTTCGGTTTGGGCAGCTCGAAAAACAACCGAGTTTCGTGACAGATTCCTGCCTCCAACTGGCCCATCAGGGAACCAACGTCCGACTCTGCTGCCGTGACAAGCCCGGCCAATATTCGCGCGACCGTTTGAACGTTTGCAGCGTCGGTGTGATCGCTCTCCACAGCCTGAGAACAGGAGTGAAAAGCATTTACCATGGAAGACTTCCCGTACTACATGCCGGAAGAGCCTCTGACATACATGCTGCAAAACCTAGCCGTCTGCTGCGGTGACTGGTACGTCGGTATTGAAACGATGGACCTGCGACCGAGCTAGGACGACTAGCAAAAGTATGCACTAAAACTGAACTCCGGTGTAGTCTGCGTGAAAGATTTGCAAGGTTCACCGCCTACAAGTTAACATCCACCCTACACACATACACACACACACACATACATACATGCATACATACATACATACATACATACCTACCTACCTACCTACCTACCTACATACATACATACCTACCTACCTACCTACCTACATACATACATACCTACATACATGCACACATACATACATACACAAACGCATACATGCATCTTAGATACAATTTGAAAACCCTGTGAGACG